CACACTCATCACTAGGGCCCGGATTTTTTGAAAATGCATATGCACATATGCAAATGCATATTTTGAGGGTTTTGGTCGTTACTGCATATTCTAAACGTAAGAGTATATTTCTGCATATATGTTTGAAATTAAGGATAATTAAGGATGAGACAACCGATTTATATGGCCGATGCATAGCAAATTTCGTAGATGTTAAGCTACATCCAGAAGAACCCGGCAAACCTCCTCATCTTGCTTGCAAAGTACTAGAGAAAACCAACCACAGCACAACAGCAAGATTTGTAAATGATTCTCTGAATCATCTGAATGGCCATCTGAAATTGAGAATAATTGTTGTAAGGTGCTTGTGTTACTCACAGATGCAGCTTCCTATATGTTGGAAGCAGCAAAGGCCTTACAAGTATTTTATCCAAATCTTATACACGTAACCTGTTTAGTGCACGGATTTCACCGTATTGAAGAAAAAATACGCCCACAGTTTACAGTTGTTAACGATTTAGTTGCAAGTGGGAAAGAAACTGTTTCTGAAAGCACCAGCTCGTGTCCAGTTTTACAAAGACTGCCTACCTCAGGTTCNTTGTAAATGATTCTCTGAATCATCTGAATGGCCATCTGAAATTGAGAATAATTGTTGTAAGGTGCTTGTGTTACTCACAGATGCAGCTTCCTATATGTTGGAAGCAGCAAAGGCCTTACAAGTATTTTATCCAAATCTTATACACGTAACCTGTTTAGTGCACGGATTTCACCGTATTGAAGAAAAAATACGCCCACAGTTTACAGTTGTTAACGATTTAGTTGCAAGTGGGAAAGAAACTGTTTCTGAAAGCACCAGCTCGTGTCCAGTTTTACAAAGACTGCCTACCTCAGGTTCTTCTGCCACCTGAACCTGTCCTAACTAGGTGGGGGACATGGTTATCCGCAGTTTCATTTTATCAGGAGAATTTCAATCAAGTAAAAGAAGTGGTTACAAAACTCGAAGATGAGTATGCATGTGTCCGTGAAGCAAAAGTGATGTTTGGATGTGATACTGTTTATCAAGATGGGAATTCTATCAATGCACATTTTTCTACAGTTTCAAAAGCCACTGAGAGCTTAGAATCCTGTGGTACACTCCTTCACGACTCACTTGAACTTGTTCAGAAAGCAACTTGTTCACTGAATTCCGCTCCAGGCGAAATTGGAGACAAGATTAAATGCAAGTTAGAAAAGGTGTTGAAATCGAACCAAGGACTAAAAAAGATTCAGTCAGTCAGTACTTGAGTGGGATTTGGGTCTCTTTGCCAGATGAATGTTCCGAACCTTCGGCGCCAGTGCATAAACACTGTCCAATCACGTCACTTGATGTAGAAAGATCATTCTCGGCCTATAAACTCATTTTGACGGACAGTAGACGCAGTTTGTCTCCAGAAAACATTGAGAGACTTCTAGTTGCCTATTGTGATGCTACTTTCTGCAGTGAATGCTACATGTAAATAGGTGAGTCTGAATAAAGTGACCTGCTTCTTAAGTGCATACTGTTTTATTTTTAGCGCATATTTTAAGTGTTTTTAGCGCATATTTTAAGTGTTTTTAGCGCATAAAGATCCGGGCCCTACTCATCACCTATCATCCAGGGCTGGTACAATAGGCCAGTTAGTGGCTGACGTACCAAGTGGACTCAATCTCACCCAATGAGAAAAAAAGAAAGTAAACGGTAAACGTTTCTATCCATAATTATATACTTCCTCATGAATACCTGTGGGTTACTTTACAGACTTCTTCAGTAGCTGCCCGGTGTAGCTACTGTAGCGTTCAATGTTAGCAAGATGCATGCATGAATTAGACGGGTCTTGGAATACAGCGGCTGTGACCTAATAGAGGTACCATCCAGCCATTTTCCTGGAGGGACCGGTGTCCCGGTCGAGGTTCGAACCGCGTATCTCTCGAATACGAATCTAGAGCGTTACTGCTACGTCACTTGGCTCGGCTACCATAACGACACACGCGGCAACGGAGGTATAACTACACATATTCTGCATTCTTTATTTCGGCAAGAGGTAAACTTCATGCCCCGACTGTTCAGTCCCGTGCCGCTTTGTTACGCGCTCAGCATTTTTGATTTAAATTGACCAAGAGCTTCACTTCTCGGCATCGATGCGTCCTGTGCAGGTAACACAGCAGTCTGGGCGTATGCTCTATTTGCAACCTCTGTTCATAATTAAAGTGACTTCGTATAGCCCGGCAGTAGAGTACCGACGTTTCGGAGGAAGGGTTAAAGAATAAAACAAGCAAGATATTCTTTCGCCCTAAAGATGGAGGTAATACATTCCTCCGAAACGTCAGTAAGCTTTCAACGGGCTACACGATGTTCCAGACCAAGGGTATCCAAACTACGGCCTGCGGGCCACATCCGGCCCGCGAAAGAATTATGCAGAAATGCGCCAATTGAACTAATTTTCCAGTGAGTACTGGTAAATGTGATTCCGAGTTTACTGACCTCACATATTATACTGCAGTTCGATGGCTTAGCTGTGGAAAGGTTCTTTCGCGCTTCTTTCAGCTCAGGAATGAAATTGATATATTTCTTACCGAGAAAAACCATCACGAACCACTTTTATCAGATACCAAGTGGCTTTGAAAATTATCAGTTTTGCTGATCTGGTGAACCATATGAACCATTTGAATTTAAAGTTGCAGGGTGAAAGTAACTTAGTATGTGATTTATTTGCACTTATCAAGGCATTCAGAGCAAAGTTGATACTTCTGGAAAGACAAGTGAAAAATTGTAACTTTGTTCATATGCTATACTGTGCAGAGTTGCATAAAAAGGGTGAAGCAGAATTTCCTTCCTCATTTGCAGATTTAGTCATTTTATATTTGAAAGAACAATTTCAGAAGAAATTTGCTGATTTGGATTCCAGTGCTCAGGAAATTAGTATGTCTCAAAATCCGTTTGACTGTGATGCTGCAGATGTCAAATTCAAATGGAAATTATTGAACTTCAGGAAAATTATCATATTAAAGACAAATACAAGGAAGGAAATTTGATAGAATTTTATAAATTTCTGAACTCTGAGCAATTTCCAAATTTAAATAAATTTGCTTGTAAATTTATCTCCATTTTTGGGACGACATATCTGTGTGAACAAACTTTTTTCCAGATGAAGTACATCAAGTCGAAATACAGGGCAAATTTATCCGATGAACATTTAAAGTCGCTACTTGTGATTAGCGTTTCAAAATTTGAACCTCAATTTAATCAGATTTTAAGAATGCAAAAAGAGTTCCATCATTCACATTAATTGTTTTATTACAATTTGTGATGAAAATATGAGCATTTGCTGCTACTGTCTGCTGTCATTAATATACGATAATTTATTCTCATGTACTTTGTATTTAGTTTATGAAATTCTGTGCCTTCAATAGAACTCATATACCTAGAGTTATTAATTTCTCATTTTATCCGGCCAGTTGAAAGTGCTGAATTACCTAATGTGGCCCGCGGTTCGAAAAGTTTGGAGACCCCTGTTCCAGACGATAATTCTCTTCTTCGTCACCACCGTAAGAACCTCAAATCTGGCAATTTTCAAGTACTGTGCGCATAAGCATTTGTTTCAATATCATGGAACCTTCTAAGCAGGTAATATTCCTCATTAGTTTCAATAGACCATCATCACTGTGTGCACTGCTCTCGAGTAAAACCAATTTAAACCTGAATACTGTATGTAGACTGCATTCAGGTCAGCACATGCGCATTTGATCAGTTTTATGTACAGGCACCCATGGATACATTTGTTTCCAAACGCAACAAAGGTAGGAATACAATTAATTTGCGGGTTGGTTTACGAGGCTAAATTATATATGGTCGAATAGTATGATGACATATTATGATGTAGTGAAAAAGATTTTGAATGAATCGGGAGTGGTATAAGCGAGGTGGTACGCCGGCATTCAGCGCCAAAGCTCAAGCGGTTAGTCGCTGGCTTCCCACCGCGGCGGCCCGGGTTCGATCCCTGGTCTGGTCAAGTGGGATATTTGTGGTGGACAAAGTGGCGCTGGGACAGGTTTTCTCCGAGTACTTCGCTTTCCCCTTCCAATCTTCATTCCACCAAATTCTCCATCATGTTAATCACCGGGGCAGGCTACAATAGGCCAATCAATGGCCGCCGTGCCGAGTGGACCCAGTTGAACTCCACCACCCACTAAGCAAATTAAATTTTATTTTAATTTAAGCCAGGAAGTGACCACCTCATATTATAATGCAGGTGGGCTTCTTGCATATATTTTTACTTATTCCATGACGCCACATCAATTACAGAAATACTTCTATTATAGATCTGAATGAAACGGGTCGAAGGTAAAGTTATGCCTGTGCTTAATGATGAATCATCCTGATGTAAAAGGAAGTGATGCTACAGCTCTACCATTATTAACCTTGGAGCTAAAGGAAAGCTTCACGCCTCTAATTCCTGTACCCACTGGATAGGACCCAGGATAGCTCAGTCGGTATAGCGACTGGCTACTGGCTGGACGACCGAGAGGTCAGAGTCGGAGTCCCGGTAAGATAAAGAATTTTCTTTTCTCCACGTCGTCCAGACTGGCTCTGGAGCCCACCCAGCCAATGGGTACCAGGGGCTCTTTCCCTTGAGGTAAAGCGGCCGGGGCGTGAAGCTGACCACTCACCTCCAACTAGTGACGAAGTCAAGAAAACGTGGATCTATACATCCACTCTACCATACGCTTTCATGACGTAGCGCTTAATTAGTTAAGCACTGGGACAACTTTACTTTTCTGCATAGAAGATTGAATGAAGTGGAGAGAATACAAAATATAGTATCGAAAGGTTTCAAAAAGGGCGGTCATGCATGTTTCCGAAATTTCTGTGAAGGGTCTGAAGAAAACGACGGAGAACCACAGTCAGGATAGCTGGTAACAAGGTAATATAATCTAGACACTTCTAATCCTTGTTCTTGGTAGCACCGCCAGGTGGAACGAGCTCTGCGCCTTTGTGAACTTACCTTGTGATATGTTCTCGCTGGTGTCCAGTCCATGCATCGGTGCCCTGACGGCATCGTGTAGGATGCTGTTCTGTGTGACGTCACTATTTCCCAGTACACTTACATACTGGTTGATGGTGACAGGGGCGTTGTAATGCAGCCGGGAACCGATATGAACATCACTGTTGTTTTCCATGTGGATATTGGATGGGGACCCGACACTGTGCAGACCGCATGTCGAAACTTGAGTCGTGATGTGTGTGGGAACTTCTTCATAGTCATGGTCTTCGACCTCTGAGCTACTTCTGTTAGATCCATCATCAGCTCCAAAGGTATCTTCCTTCCTCATATCGTTTTATTCTTTTGTCGTATGGAGGAATTTACTGTAACGTCTTTGTCGACTTGGAGATAACTTTCACACAGACGATACAGGAACCATTACAGCCCACTCGCCACGCTCATGGACAAGCAAGCAGCATTATTTACTGCCTGCTCAAAGAAGTAACACTCATAATCCACTAATGTTGCGTATTTCACCTCGAACCACACAAGTAACACAATCGACTTACGTTGTGTGCACTTCCACATCCAGTCACGAGAACATTCACTATTCAGTTTTGTCACGGATTATTATGTGCAAACCACATCACAGTTGCCAACTAAACATCGCCTGCACCAACAAAGTTCGTGTAGGGACGGCTGACATTGGTGGACGAGGGAAAGAGATGGAGATACAAGTCAGATTCTAGCGGCTTGTTACCGCCTCCACTCTTACGAATGCGCAAACTGGTGACTCTGACGTCATCAAGGGAGGGAAATTTAACAGGAAAAAGGCATGTTTATTTCATCATCATCATCAGTAATCTGTCAAGACGACAGGTCCACAGTCTGTTTCAAAACAATTCCTCCACTTAATGCGATCTAGAGCTTTCTCCTTCAAATGACAGTACCCTCTTCTGTCCCCAAGGTCATCCAGCATCTTCTTACGTCTTCTTCCTCGTCTTCTTGTCACTTCTATCCGCCCATCTATCTTTCCTTCGATAGCTTCTTTTAGAAGGCAGTTTCTGCGTAAAACATGACCAATCCAATTAGCCTTCCGTTTTCTTATTTCATGTAGGATATTCCTCTGCTCACTGACTCTAATTAACACTTCTTCATTTCTCACATAATCGGTCCAACTGATCTTCTCCATTCTTCTCCAACACCACATTTCGAAACTTTCCAGATGTTTCTGATCTACTGCCCTAAGTGTCCATGTTTCAGCCCCATACAGAGCTATGCTCCAAATGTAGCATTTCACTAGTTTCTTCCTCAAATTTAAGTCCAATTTGCTGGTAAAAAGATTCTTCTTCTTGCTAAATGCAGCTTTTGCCATGGCAATCCTGGATTTAATTTCACAAGTACACCTTCCATCATCTGTTAACAAGCTACCCAAATATTTAAAACATTTCACATTCTCCACTTGTTTTTGGTCTATCCTTATTGTGACTGGGGTTGGTTGTCTCGAAATTTTCATTACTTTTGTTTTCTCCACATTCATTTCAATGCCATAGCACCTTCCAATTTCAATTAGTCTATCATTATTTACGGTTCATTTAAACACGCAGTTAGTAGTTCTGACTGCATGACATCGAATGGCAGAATGATCAATGAATAATGAATTGGAAATAATGCGAAAGGAGGTGGAACCGGCCTAAAGGCGTGTTTTCATGCGACGTTTGACGACTGGATGTGATATTAATGTGGAGACATTGACTTAGATGTTATGACACTGATACTTAAGTTTTACGGTGACATATGTCGTGACTTTGTCAGGCGAAACAGAGCCTTAATTTCAGTCCTATGAGCTTCAAGCTTCGAAATGTTAACAAGTCTTCCCTCCCAGTAGAAACCCAACCCCTACCCTCCGTTTATGTGTATATGTCCGATCTGGTGAGATGGATTACAAAATAATTAAATAATTATTACAAATTAATTCATATCCTTACCAGATCGGACATATACACATAAACGGAGGCACCCGTCAAATAGAAATCAAATTGAATAATAACGTGCAATATAGCAACGGATCTCCGAGCACCATAACAACCGTCTGTGTATACAACATATCCACATAAGCACCATAACATATACCATTACAACTACCTTCTTTGGAATATAATTTTATGCACAACTCTTAACTCTACTTTAATTATTTAACTAGTTCATTTTAAGAATTTTACCTTCAATGTAATTTTACATTATTGTATACTATTTGCCGGGCACGGTAGCCGAGCTGTCTAAGGCATGCACTGTCTTCGCTCGCTCGGAAGCCGGGATCGTAGGTTGGAATCCCACTCAGGGCATGGATGTTTGTGTGCGTTTTTCTGTGTTTGTCTACAGGTAGAGGCCTTGCGACGAGCTGATCACTCGCCCAAGGAGTCCTACCGTATGTGTAAGATCTAGAAAAACCGAAGTGAACGGAGAAGTTCATGGAGGTAGGCCTAGGCCCACTGGGGCTGTAGTGCCAAGGAACGAAAAAAAAATGAAAAATCTAATATTACTTTGTGTAATTAGCACGCAATTCAGTAGCTAAATGAGTTTTTAAGTGTATTTACCTGATGATGGCTTCTTGAAAGCCGAAACATGTAGTAAAGTACTACTTGAAACTACAAATATATATTATTAATTGTTGTGTTGTGACGGCTTTCAATAAAGAAACAGGTTTTATTTGTTTCAGTTAGTGTTGCTAAATGTGAAGGCGCTATCTAGCACTGAAAAAAACAAACAAACTTGTTTTTCAGGCGTTGGACGGCCCAGAAAATTCTTTAACGAGAGCAGAAAGGGAAGGAAATTAAGTATGGTAAAATCATTAATGACTTCATCGTGAAAAAGAGATTATGCTGAAATCGTGACGGAAGCAACGCAAACAACAGCAACTCGAGCTGCTGATTAAGAAGGGCTATAGAACTTCCGGTTTGTTGCCAATTTCACACACCGAAAACGAAGCTTTAGCGTTATTTGTCAATGCAGAAGTAATGAAATCGCCGTATTTTCTGATAAGAATTGAGGTCAAACAAAGGCAGCGTAACATTTACACATCTTATATTATCTTACAGAAAGAGAAAGAAGCCTGTTATCCGGTGAAGACCGCAATGTCGGTTACTGACTTTTCGGCAAAAATAAAATTGCAGGGTCTCCTAGAGTGTGCGATCGCGCTGTCATGCGCATTTCAAGAGTACAGGAACAGATGCTGAACCAAGTTCTTTCTGGAGGCTAAGTCGTATGACAGAGATTTCCAATTGGGGTTGTGACGGAAGCAGTGAACAAAGTAACTAAACAGTTAGCGGGGATCAGATTATTTAAATTATTTCGAATTTTTATTGTGTGTTCTCAGTCCCCTTTGGGCAAATAAATAATTGTATAACAGATTCCTAAGCCACCATCAAAAGATTTTTTCGACCCATGAAACTGTATAAATAAAAGAAACAAACACTGCTGCAATTGGAAAGCAGAACGGTAAAATTAATCGGACGGCAACAGTAGTAACGGAAAAGATTTCCATGTGCATCACAAATAGGTTTTGACTGTGGCGGCCGTAAAACGCTGCAATGCTGTAACAAACATTTTATCACAAAATGTTATGCATGTGGGAGCAACCCCCGAAGATACGAACAACTTAGGCGGCATGTCAAGAAAAATCTAAAACACTGAAAATTTTGCTTTCGAACTCTCTTTTCTTCATGCATATTTTTCGAGTGTTTATTACATATTTCCTACAGCCTTGAAGTAAAAATGGTAAGTATTTGGTGCAAATAAACACAACTGCTATCGGGAATCCTATTTCAGAAGTACGAGTATTTAGAGGACATCGCTGGGAAAAGATACAGGGCAGAACTGAATAAAATGAACGTTCTGCGAACAGCGCACGCTTTTGAACAAGATAAAGCAACGTAGCACTTAATTCGCTTCCAAATATACTGTGACATATTGACTCTATGCAGGAACTGTTGAGCCACAGAGGCCTCGGGGCACGCGCGCAACGGGAGAGTTGCGGATTTTATCGGCGCGTTGCTAGGCGACACGTCTGTGAACGCTTGGATTGCGCAATAGGAAGTAGGGGTCATGTGACCTCTGCGTTCCCGCAAGTGACATCACATACCCCCACCCAGTCCGTTGCTACGCAACGCTCGGTAAACACCTTTCCATGCTAGGTTGTGACGTCACGCAACAGTGATAGCTATCACGCAAATGACTTTCTGTGGAGTCCATGCTGCAACCGTAGCTATGCAATCGCTAGTAAACACGTTCCAACAATATAGGCTGTTTTCTGCATGGTCAGTGCGGAAGCTATGTAACAACAGTTACAGACAGAACAGATTTAAAAAATATAAGAGCCTTAAACTTGGCGGCGGTCAGGCACACGGCCGTTCAAGTGACTAGGCTACTGTGGTAGCGAATACTACTAGAAATAGGGCATAATCTGCTGTGCCGAGCCTGGATCGACAGAGGCCTTGCATATATTGTACATAGAGATAGGAATTAAGATTAAATTGTAAATATATGTAAATACTGACAGTGGACTTACTGACACAGACTATGACTGACAAATGACAGACCCGACCTCTCGTTAGAGAGGGCGCCCCAAATGAACAGGACAGTAACTTTCATATAAAGAAAAAAAAATCTGGTCATGAGCCCCAGTCGGGGCTCGACACCAAGACAGACAGACTGACTGACCGTCAGTCACAATGTGACTTTGACTTTGAACAGATTTCACTGTTGAGGCATATTCGGGAGTATTCGGGAGTGTTTAAGTGTTCAAGTGACAGCCACGGGAAGTTCGTCATGTGAACACTTGGCGTGTGATTGGAAGAATTTAATAATGTGTGATAATTGTGATAATTGATCTGACGTGCTAGTTCCTGTGATTATGAAGTACGACCATATGTAAATCAGCGATAGCGCTGTAATTTTTATGTGTAATTAAAATATTGTGTAACCAAGCTGTTAATAAATTCAATCATCGGAACTAGAACCCGTTATTTCGTCACGCGTACCCCCCTACACGTGGCAATATTTTCCACTGAGATATTACGTGATTAACTTCAGTGGGTTGGTTGTTGAGCGTACAGATGACTGCTGTAGTTCAGTCTCTGTGAGCTGTTGCTGTTAGAAGCTGGTAGTTGAAGCACGAAGATAGTTCTGGTCTAGTGACCATAGAGGTCAGGCAAACAAGTGCATATCCAGCAGCCTTTGAACTGGAGCCAATAATGTAATGCCAAGATAAGGAACTCTTGGGCCTCTTGGGGCATAGAACTGAAGAGTAATTTGTAAACCATGTCACGAAAACGTCCATATTGAAGCATTTATAAACTTCTCGGCAATTAGGAGGACGGGAATATAACTTCAGACATTCAGTAGCGGCGGTCATACTGTCACTTAGCTTCAGCATCAGTCTTTAGTTCGAATCTCTTCTCTTTGGTCTCGGCAGAGTTTAGTCTGTATTACATTTCCATTCAATAAAGATCATTTATCTACAACCGAAGATGGTACAGGGAGCTAAAGCACTATTACATGACGCTTTACCCAGCGGTTCCTCTCGCCTCATCTGTAAGTGATTATTCCATCTGTCAATTCAAGGGCCCAGTGGCACCCAGCAAGGTACACTACAATGTAGTGGTCAATTTTAGAGCTTTATGCGCCATTCTTTGTTTAAGAGGTATTTGACATACAGATTAA